ACAAATTCCCATGTAGGGAAGAAAAGTAATCCACAACCTGATGTCGTCCACAGGGAGTGGGGTGAAACCTCTAGTGAAGGGGTAGCCAGACTCCAGCTGTGGTGCAACTAATAATCCCATTAGACATTGCAAGACTGACAGCCCAGAGGCACATGCATGAGGGGATTTGTGGTTGGATCACTACTGGAGTTTGCCTGCCCTAGTGGAAGCAGGTCCAGAAGTAATCTAGAAAGTATTTGTGAAAACAAGACCAGCTAATCTAAATGGGAAAACATGTAAAACACTGCCATGCAAATGAGCCTGCGACATTAGCAGTTGTCATTTTAAACAATCTCAAAGCCAATACATAAACTGAAACAAACTATATACTGCTCACAATCTCATAAAATGAGTCATCAAAAGTCCAAAGTAATGTCTTCATACAGCTTTCCAATCCGCTCTTGTGCATGTACGCAGGTAAAACTGCATTCCAACCAAAACTAGCCAGAGCAGTTGGACCTTTTAAGTCAAAAGCACAATAAAATGTAATTATGGTATTCCTAAAATCAGATCCAACATTTTAAGATTTCCACATTGCATGGTTGACGAGCCAGCAAACTGAGACCACGCCATAACGCCAATATGGTTTTTTTGAAACTAGGTTAAAAAGCTCAAATTCATATTCAGCATGTGTGCATAGCACCATGTGTATGGCAAAGTCTGCGGCACAGGTCTGAACTACAGCACAGCAGGTATACAATTGCCTGTGTTCTATCAAAGTTTGTGACTAGTTTGGAATGTGACCGGTCACGTGGTCACACATTTTAACGTAATCACGCCCAGTTTTTCGACAGTGGAATATGTGACCGGCAAAAGGTGAAGTATTCCAACGCTTTCTCAGCTGTTCCAGGGCAGATCAACATCGCATGTATGGGTGAACCCATCTGCCCTGGAACAGCTGATCGGTCCTGGAATGTCACTTCTATCTGAGTGCGATCTTACATTCCACAAAGTCGGAAGTGATTCCAGGACCGATCAGCTGTTCCAGGGCAGATGGGTTCACTTGTACATGCGATGCCGATCTGCCCTGGAACAGCTGAGAAAGCGTTGGAATGCTTCACCTACTGGTGGTCACATATTCCACCGCCGAAAAACTGGGTGGGATTACGGTAAAATGTGTGACCGGTGACTCATTCGAACCTAGTCACAAACTTTGATAGAACACAGACAGCTCAATCTTTCCAATAAATTGGACCTGATGTAATGACAAATCCTGTGTGGCTAGGCCCAACATCTTCCCTCTCAAAGACTTCCTTTTCAAATCTAAATAGGAAGGCTCTAAGCCCTACTCACCTGACAACAAAAGGGTCAAAATCAGGAGCTCCATGTCTTGCGAGACTGACAAGACAACTACCTTGCCAAGTGAGACTTGCCAGGGAAGAACTGGACTTTGACTAGTGACCACACCCTACGAAGGATATGAAAGTCCTCCAGTTAGCATGACTAAAAGGTTTATGGAGGTGCATGGGAAGCACCCCAGAAATGTAGGTGGGAGAAACTAAGCATAAACTGGTGATCTGGCTTGCAACCCTGATGGGGCTGAGGATGAAGTTAGATACTCATCAGTATGCAAGAGGTTCCTCTGGTGAGCCCTAAGTTCCTGCTAGACAACGGTCCTGTCAGAGGATACCTGCAGCAAGAGACTAGTTTCTTCCTCCAAAAGACAGTCAAGACCCTCGCCTGATGTCTTTTACCTTTTTGTGTTTCACATTTTACCTGCAGGACGTGGTGTGTCAACATCTCCCTGTCCAGAAGCTACCAGTTGGGAACAGCTGGCCTTCAGGGGGTTTCCGTGCAAACTATATCAAAAACAGGGACCAGCCTATCTTTCCTGACACAGTAAGGACTACTGTTGCTTCTCGGTGGTGCAGACACAACAGTATCTAGATCAGGGGTGCCCACAATTTTTGCGTTTAGATCTACTTTTCAAATGACAAGCTTCATGAGACCTATCCACGGAAAACATGAGATCTACCAACGACGCTCTCCTGGCTGTCTCTCTCCCGGCTCATCCTCCTGGCTGTCTCTCTCCCGGCTCATCCTCCTGGCTGTCTCCTGGCCCATCCTCCTGGCTGCTGTCTCTCTCCTGGCTCACCTTGCTGTATTTTGCAACAGGCTGTGTAAACTAATATTCTTTGATGTAATACATAGCACTTCAACCACCAGTATCCACCAGAAAGGTGTCGGGGAGCTTGGCTCAGCAGACGCAGGCTAATAGGTAATCGTGTGCACAGCCAAATAAATATACCAAAATGGAATAAAGGGGCCGCCATTCACACCCTTCCTGATCTACCAGCATCAGCTTTAAGAGCTACTGGTATATCACGATCTACCTAATAGGCACCCCTGATCTAAATGATCTGATATAACCTCAGCACCCGCATTTATCCTTGGTCATTAACCCCTTCATGACAGGCCTTTTTTTTTCATTTTTTGCACCCATGTTATTGCTCTCACTCCGGCGTGCACGGCGATACCCAACATGTGTAGCGTGTTCGTCGTTTTCATAGGTAGGCGCACCCGACGCGCGTGCTCGCAGGGGCGGGGGACTTAAATTTTTTTTATTATTATTATTATTGGATTTATTTATTTTGATTTTAAAAACTTTTTTTGTTTTTTTTTACTTTACTTTGACTGCTATCACATGGGGGGGCTTACAAGCCCCCCCCCCCCTTGTGATAGCAGATGGTGGTGACAGGTACTCTTTAAGGTGATGCTGGGGGTCCCCCAGTGTCACCTTTACACTGGAAATAAGCTATTGAAGTGCAGATTGCACATCTGCATCGCTCCCGGTCCCATAGAACGGGGAGGGGATCGATGAACGGAAGTTCGTCGACCTCCTCCCCAGCGACGCCGGTCCCGGGCCCGTAGGAGGGGCAACGAAGCGCGGCGGGGGGGGGGTGCAGCCCCTTCTTCGGGACACAGAAGCGATCTGGCAACAGGTAAGTCGCCAGAATCGCTTCTGTTGTAAAGCCAGCAGTCGGCTCTACAAGTTTAAACAGACTCCCGGCGGCAAAAGTCGCCGGGAATCTGTTTAAACAGCCCCGATGCTGGCGACATACACTGTACGTCGTCAGTCACGAAGGGGTTAAGTCGCGACTCAAGACGCACTGCAATGGAATGCACGACATTGCCGTACTATACATTTGGCTGCAGGCGATCGGACTGTGGGTGGGAGGTGCGTTTGGGGTGTCATTCAAATTAATGGCAACGCAACACCTCTTCCACACCAGAACGTGCAGTAGGTGTGATTCAGTGCATTAATTGCATGGGACTGTGTGATTAACACACTGTACCAGTGTGAACGGACCCTCATAAACACTGACAGACACCCGAAACAAAATTACTTTTTTTTTTTCAAATCCACCCGTCTCCCTACCTTATGAGAACTGGAGTGGATCCTCAGCTTGGGCTCCAGCCATATGTGTGTTGTTTGTACAGCTCCCTTGTGTCCCCCCTAGAGGTGCCGGGAGCCAGAATGTGACATCAGTCCAATCCAGGCACATCTACAGGGCACATGTGGGAGCTGTAAGCAATGTAGCTCCCTTTTGGCCATACTTCCACCCCACCTCAAGCTGACACGCAGGTCTGGGTAGCATATTTCAAATGGCTGCTTGTGTGAGAACTGACAGTGCTGTGCTAGGGGGAGACTGAGGAGTCTCTCACCTAGAAAAGTGGAAGGCATGTGGCGACCCACTGAATATGGGGTCATGATCCACCAGTTGGGAACCAAAGATCTAGATGGTACCTGAATAGTGAGACTTGCCCAAAGAGGAATCTTGCAATGTAGAAAAAAACCACTCCTGGAAATCCAGAATGCAGCTCTGGAAACATTTCTCCAATTAGAGGAAACCTCCCAGAGATGGGGAGAAAAGCCCTCATCAGCTGTCAGATAGGGGTGCTGAGTGATCAGACCAGGAACTACCTGAACACTGGAGGCAGACACATTAATGTGCTCAGGATTTAGACCTGCAACAGAAGAGGAAGGGACGGAGATATACCAAGAAGAGGTGAAAGAAAGTTAGGTGCCTTAATAGGAAGGTCCCCCAACACCTGACGCTCCTGCAAAAGAGGAGAGACCGGTCTGTCTAATGATTTTTAGTGTGAACCCCACTCCTGAAGAACCATGCTAACATTGTCTACAGGTGACTGGCAATATCTAAAGTCGTAATCTGAAGTCAGGCCCAGACAGATATTGCAATCATTTAGCCCATAAGACCCAGAGTAACAGCTCTCTTCACAGGAGGTCATCTTGAATGTTCCACAATAGAGATCCCAGGAAAGGTACCAGGAGAGACACAGGAGCCAACGTTCTGCTAAATAAAAGGTGTTCCGGGGTAACACAGAGGATTCGGAGCCCTGTTCAGCTGAAGCTATCCCAAAGGGTCCCTCTGGAAAAGGAGAGGGGTGGCATTGAGGGGTACCAGGTACTGCTCATGACTCTACACGTCCCAAGGGAGGAGAGTTTCTCGGAGGAAATGGGTGGTGGCTCAGATGGGACACAGCTCCAGAGGTCGAGCTGAGACTGGAACTAGCCCAAGGGTGCCTGGGTTGAGGAGACCCCAAGAGTGCAGGGGAAGGTCTGTTAGTCTGTGGAGTGACATAAGGGAGGTTTTAAAAGGGTGCCATTGGCTCATTAACACTACATTCATACATATAGAATGAGCACTGTTACTGAGAAATACATATAGCATATAGGAGAAGTGATACATACAGAAACAGATGTGAGAAACACACACACACACGCGCGCGCGCGCGTCGTGTTGACTTATAACAATAGAGGAAACCGTCCTCCGTCCACATGTCACTCTCTGACCACCCCCTGTATGGCCGCTGTCCAATCTCTCTGCGCGGCTGCCAGGGAGAGGCGGGGCCGACCTTTATCCCCAAGATGGTGCCGCCCCTGCAGTGACCTGGAGGTGTCTTCCGCTGTTGCTCGGTGGACGGTGCCCGGTCATGGCGGTGTTCAGGGTTATGCTGCGGAGAGGTGGGTCAGGATGGCTGCCTGAAAATAATGGCGGTGCCGGTAGACAGAGCACTGCAGTGACACAGGCCGTCCCGGGTGTCAGCAATAGCGGGGTCTGGTTATATTGTAAAACTGTATAATAACACATTGATGAATACACATGAACTTATTTTCTTACTTCTTGCCCTAGTGACACGACTGAAAGTTAGAGATGATGATGATGGTCACTAGGGATGTACATGGGCTTGGTGATGGTTTTAGTGCGTTTAGGGAGGAACGATGCCCTATCATTGGTGTTCAATGGGAACAATAGTGCCCCATCATTGGTGTTATGTGGGAGGAATAGTGCCCCATCGTTGATCAGCGGCAGGAATGGGGTGCCCTATTACTGGTGATAAGCAGTGGGAGGAATGGTGCCCCATCATTGGTGTTCAGTGGGAGGAATTGTTCCCCATCATTGGTGTTCAGTGGGAGGAATTGTGCCCAGTGGGAGGAATTGTGCCCTATCATTGGTGTCAGTGGGAGGAATTGTGCCCTATCATTGGTGTTCAGTGGGAGGAATTGTGCCCTATCATTGGTGTTCAGTGGGAGGAATTGTGCCCTATCATTGGTGTTCAGTGGGAGGAATAGTGCCCAGTGGGAGGAATTGTGCCCCATCATTGGTGTTCAGTGGGAGGAATTGTGCCCCATCATTGGTGTTCAGTGGGAGGAAAAGTGCCCAGTGGGAGGAACGGTGTCCTGTCATTGGTGGTCAGCGGGAGAAACGGTGTCCAATCATTTTTGTTCAGTGGCAGTTACCTCTTTGCAGGCTCCATTTCTTCATGGTGAGGGTTCCTATGTAGTCCCGGCATGTGATAGATTGTTGGGGGCAGAAACAAGCTGCGTTCCAGCACTTGGCATGTTCTGGCAATCAGCAGAGCTCCCCTTGGCTTGTAATAAGAAAGCCCTCAGTGCAGGACCTTCTCATTGGAGAGGCCCGTTTATAGTAACCTGCAAGCCCCAACCCGCTTGTGAGCCGTAGTTTGGGGTCCACTGCTTTATAGGAAGAGTCAGACTGGCAATGAAGGGGGAGATGGAGTAGGCTTGCTTTATAAGGGTCTTGAGCTGGCCATACACATTACAGTCTGGTGGCACAATTTCTTGTAACTGTGTAGTAGTGTGGGGGGTCTACTTAATTGGATAAAGGGAATTGTATTGTATTTGGACCATGACCAGGTTTAGTTTTATTTTGTCCTCAGATATTCCTGTTTGTGATTTTCAGATTTGCACAAGGCAGTTCTAGGACTGCGAAACATGTCTTCTAATGCGGGACTAGCGTCCTATAACTATGAGACGCTGAATGTCACAACACCGAGGGACCACGTCTTCCAAGTAGAACTAAACCGTCCGGAGAAAAGAAATGCCATGAACAAAGCTTTCTGGAGGCAAGACCGCTGATAATATATATAGGTCCTGTTCAGGGCCGGTTCACACCAGAAAGAGTGCGTTCCAGAGCGTTCAGCCTCTGGAACGCAACCCAGCTGGCTCACTTTGTTTTGGGACGGGATGGGGCATGGCGTGCATTGAAGTCAATGGCACTGCATTGCGATCGCCGGTACTGGAACGTGTGGCACATTAGTGCCTGCGTTCCCATCCAGTGTGATCTGCAAAAATAGTGCATGCAGCATTTTTGCAAATCGCACTGGACCGCAACGTAGGCACTAGTGTGCCACCCCTCCCGCCCCAAAACGAAGTGAACCAGCGGGGTTACGTTCCAGAGGCAGAATGCTCTGGAACGCACTCTTTATGGTGTGAACCGGCCGTTAGGTCATACTGCAGACTTTAGGGTTAGGAAATGGATCCATTTAAGAAATAAAAGGATTATAGAAACAAAGCAGTGGAACAATGGAAGCTTACAAAATGATGAGCTCTGGTTATTTGGTAGCACCTCCAGGAAACCAGGATGAGCTTCATTATCATACATTGTTTTTACACTTTTACCAGTTTATTTATGGTAGAAGAGCAATTGAACAGCATAGTAAGCAATCAGAAGTCCTCTAAGAAAACAATTTGCATTATCAGTTGTGCCATTTAACTGGATTATTAAACAGGTCCAATAATATTCATCCTATGTTTGTTGTATATAAATAAAATGGAAAATGAAACATTTGCTATAACCCGTACTGTGGGGACATGCAGGCTTCCATTGTTGACCTCTCATTGCTAGTTGCCTGGCTGTTATTCTGATCCAGTGGCTTTAATGATTTTTGTGTCACTGACAAAGCAATAAGTATGCATATTAGGAGCAGTATGTGTGTTCTGGTTTAGAGTCCAGCAACAACCAGGTAATTACTCTTTTTTTAGAAAGAGGTCATCAATGGTAGCCAACGTGGTTTTTTCTCAATACAGGTTTCCTCAATACATGAACACTAGTGTGCAATGCATTTTGCTGCATTTGTTGTGCATCAGCATAGGGCTGCCCTGCATGCAGCAAAGAAGCTTATGCAGCAGTTTGGGCTGTAAGCTTTGTGCGTTTTTTTAAAACTCTTGCTGCATTTTGGGTGCCATCAACAAATACTGGCACCACAACCGCAGGTAGGCCACGCTTATCACACATTGCATGAAAACATGCAAAATCCTGCTATCTTGCTCCTATTCACGCACGCGTATAGTGTGAAGGGGGCTTTCAATGATGCCTCTTTCCATAGAGACTGTTGGCCCAACTCTCACTTGAGAGTTCCATTTAAATACATCCCTCCTACACATCTCTGCTCTCTGTGTTCTCTTTCCAAACTATTTGATCTCTACTTCTTGCTACTTTGGCTATTTGTACTTTACAACACAATAATAACTTGTCCACCTTGAAAATAAAATCTCATCCACATAGGAAATACAACAAAACGACACAATCGTTGTAATCGGGAAGTGAAAAATCAGATGCCATTATGTGCATGGTGGTTCTGGGTTTGTGACTCCAAGTCAGCATGAGGGCCAGGGAACTAGCATTTGCAGAGAAAGAACACAGCAGTCCCAGCCGCCTTGTTTCTTCAATTCATTCCCTAGCTTGTTGTGAAGCAGACTCAATAGGGCTGAGAGTCATGTCTGCAGGTTCTCGAGAAAAAAAGGGTGCATTAAAATTATGGCATCTTATAAAATGTTATATTATCTCTAATGAAACTGATCCATAAATAATATATTCCATGAATGCCAGATAATCTGTAAGGTTTGTGTCTGTCTTGTCACAGGGAGATGGTCCTCTGCTTTCGTGCTCTATCAGACGATACTAACTGCAGAGCAGTTGTTATTTCCGGTGCTGGGAAAATGTTCACATCAGGTAGGTCAGTCATCTATACATCTCTCTCTTCTCTCCTCTCTCTTCTCTTCTCTACATAACATCTGTTTATTTAGCCAAATGCACCAACATGCAAGTTCATTTCCAAATGTTGCAAGGAGGTCACATGTTTCACTTAGGATGAATCATAGGTAGGCATCTGTCACCTGCTCCTAGCTCTTAAAGTGATCCAAGAGTATAAGAAGACTGAACACCAGGGCCCCACGGGGTGTGGGTGTCTGTGGTAAAAATTGAAAATGAATATACAATTGTTGAGAAGGTGTCAATTACATGTTTTGTGTTTGTTCTTTGCGTAGGTATCGACCTTATGGACCTTGCCGGTGAGTTTTTACAGCATGAAGAGGAGGACATTGCAAGGATCTCCTGGAACGTTCGCAAGAAGATTAAAGATTATCAGGAATCTTTTAGTGTTATTGAGAAGGTTGGTGCATATGGTACTTTATTCTTATATGGTACATATAGTTCCTTCAAGGGGAAGAAGTATGCTCTCAACATGGCGGCGATGCTTATTGGGAGGGAAAATTGGCTGACGATAAAGAGAAAGATGAGTTTGGGATAATTAGAGAATGCATCAAGTCCTCAGGGTTGAGGGGAGAGGGTGAATGAAAGATGTACAAAGGGTGGTTTTTAATGTGAGTTTGAAAGAAGGGGCTCAGAGAATTGCAGAGGAGGACAGTGGGGTTGGTGTTAAAGGACCAGGTGAGGGAAAACTGGGGAATCAGATGATGCAAGCAAGACAGATGAGAAGAACAGAGGAGAAGAGGCAGTGTGTGCATGGAGAAAAGCGCAGTACTTTATTGTAGACAGTAGAAAGTTTAAGAGAGATGTTAGGAGTAGATGACAGACAACGGGGGGAGGGAGAAAGTTGACAACAGGAGCGAATTGAGGCCAGGAGGGTGCAGAAATAACCAGGAATAGCAGATTGTGGGTATTATGAACATTCTCAGGAGTTGGGAAATAATGTTTGGGGTCAGACTGTTGGGAAGGTAACAGCGTCCAGGCTTCAGATGATTGAATTTTTAGATTAGTGCATTATTCCAGTCTTGACTGGTCCTCGTTGACCTTTAATGAAGGCTTGAAGCATAAGAGCACTAAAGACCATTTCCATGCATAAGCAGACACAATACATTCTTTATTAAAATGTGTGGTCTTCACCTGAAGGTTCACTTGACAGATCGGTCTTCTGGATGGAGATGAATTTGATGAGCTTTCTCTACACTTTCTCTCTGTAAGCTCCCATGACTCCTTTATACTCCAAGTAGTTCCTGTAAAAAAATCATTTTGTCATAACACTTAGGGCTACTTTACACCGTAACTGCATGCGTCTGCGCAGCTGCAGTGCGATGCATTTTGGCGCAATAGGCTTTTAGGTGCAGTTCAGTGCATTTGGATGCATTTTTGATGCAATCCGTTGCAGTCAGGTGCAGCTCAAATGAGATGAGCACCAGAAATCCCATTGGAATGCATTGTGACGTGATTTTGATGCAGCTGCCAAACTGAATGGACTGCATCACAACTGCATCTGGTGTGAACTAGCCCTTAGGCCCCATTCACACCTAGGTGTATTGTAATATGCGCGTCTGTCGCGCGGTTTTTTTACCGCGATTCGCGGTAAAAAAGTCGCGCGATTCCAAAGGCTACTTGGCTGTATCCCAATGGAAAACGCCCTACAAAACGGCCCAAAGTAGTC